ACCATGGTCTTGCCCCGGCTTCTCGCAGGTTTTCTACGTGGTAGTGTGGGCCAACATCTACTCCACCAGCCAGATGTTTGCCTTGGGGAACCACTGGGTGGGTGTGCTGCTCGTGACCCTGGCAGCAGTGAGCCTGACCTTGACTCTCATGCTCATCTTCGAAAGACACCAGAGAAAGGTGAGACATCTGGAGACCCCAGCCATACTCCCTCCAGAGGGGCTGTACGGGCAGGAAGATCCCAAATCAGATTTTTCTCTATTACCTGCTTCAATAAATTGCTCCAACCGTGAAAATTCACACTGGCCCATGTGCCCAGTGACTAAAAGAAATCAAATCACATGTATGATTAAATCCTCTCTGTCTTTCCTATCTAATCCCTGCAGGGTGTTTTTCTGGAAGCAAGCTGTGTTTTGATAGAGTCTGGGATCGGGGAGGAGGGCACTGACAGCCAATATTTGTAAGGGATTTTGAGTTTACTGAGCCCTTTCATGTACCTCCTCCCCTTGGATGCTCACAAGAGTGCTGTGAGTGAGGAGGGACTACTGAGCACAAGGTGCCTGAGGCTGAGGGTTGGGGGAGGTGGGGAGGCCCTGACCCAGGAACTCTGTTAAAAATCCTTTCTCATTTAATCCTTGCAATGACCCGTGAGGCAGAGTGGATGGTCAGAGGGTTTAGGTAACTTGGCCCATTCCACCGTGAGTGGCTTAAAGCCTGAGCCGTCAGATTCCCAGTCTCATTCACAAAGGAGATTGCTGCAGGTTCACTAATTGCACTCTGCTTCTTCAGTGTCCAGCTTTTGTTACTTACTGAGCACTTTGTATGCGGTCGGTCATCCATTAAATGCTCCACCTACGTTAACTCATTAAACTTCCCAGGAAATCTCTGGGTAGAGATCTTCATTTTACAGATGAGAAACCCAAGGCTCCAAAAAGCTCAAGGAGTAGTCTAAGGTCATGCTGCTAATAAATGGCAGAGATGGAATTCAAGGCCAGGATGCTCCGATTTCAAGCCTCATTTTCAGTCAGTACCCAACTGTATTGGTATTGCATGGCTGCTGTAACAGATCACCATCAATGTGGGCTTGAAACAACACAGATTTATTATCTTACAGTTCTGCAGTTTAGAAGCTTGACAGAGCAGGGCCACATGCTCTCTGCAGCTGCTGGGGGAGAATCTGTTTCCTTGCCTCTTTTAGCTCCTGGAGACCACCTGCATTCCTTGGCTCGTGTTCCCTTCCTCCATCTTCAAAGCCACCAGCGGCGCTCTAGTCCTTCTCACATCTTTGAGTCTTCTGCCTCCCTCTTCCACTTTCAAGGCCCCTTGTGATTCCACTGGGCTGCCTGAATAATCTGGGACAATCTCCCTATTTTAAGGCCAGCTAATTAACAACATTAATTCTATCTACAACCTTCCTTCCCCTTTGCTGTGTAATGTAACATGTTCACAGGTTCTGGGGAATAGGACTTAGGCATCTTGCAGGGGCATTATTCTGCCTACCACACCTCTGCTGTCTTTCCAGTGCTTAGGAAGCTCCTCTAGCACCTGGCACAGAGCTGGCCTTTGAGATTTTTAGCAAACATTCCACTCTTGCCTGACTCAGGAGGAGAAGGTGGGATGTTGGGAAATGAGTTAATGGTTTGGGGTATGAGTTCCATTTAGTGTCTGCGCACATAGAGACGAATAGGAACTTTATGGCACAATCATTCTGAAAAATTTCTTTGTTGAGCTTTGCCTCAAGGCTGACAAAATAATGCTGCCTTGGGCTCTGTCGAAGCTTTCATGGCCCTTGTGCTTGGCCTATAAAAAGTAAATTGAGCAGGTTTTTCCTGCAGTAAGAAACTTCTCTTGGGGAGGGGGAAAAAAGCAAAGTATATTCTGCTTTGGCAGGAGCAAGCAAAATATCTGGCACCTGGCAGGTGGTACAGGATGCAGATATAATTAATGCAATTCAGAGAATGCCTCCTCTGGCTATCTGCCTCTTATTCTCCCTTCCTTCCTTGTTCAGCTGGTATTCATGAGGCCCCTGCAAGTACCAGGTAATGTGCTAGGCACGGGGCTCAGAGACGAATAAGACCTTGTGCCTTTACCCATAGGTTCAGCATGGAGGTCCTAGGCACTCAGTGGCACTTCTGTCTTCACTGTTTGCTCATTCAGGGAACCTCTCTAGCGTCTTTTCCTTCCTAGAAATGACCGCCATTTAATGAACACCTACTATGTGCTCTGTGTTTGGAGCCTGATATCAATGATGACCAACTACAACCTGACAAGGAGGCAGGATACCTCTTCCATTTGCTAGCTCTGCAACCTGGGGTAAGGCCTTAGTTTCATCATCTGTAAAATGGATAATAATTGTGACTCCTCCACAACATCGTTTGGAGAATTAAGTGACTTAATATATGCAGAGTACTTATAATCATACCTGGTATACAGTAAATGCTCAGTAAGTATTTACTATTACAGTTATTGACTCTGTTGGCCAGTGGAAAAACTGAAGCTCAGAGGTTAAGTAATCAGTCTGTGGTCACACAGCCTCCTCAGGTCTTGCCTCAGCTCAAGGACTTCTTCCTTCTTGGATCCCTCGTCACTCAGGACCATGCAGATCCCCCTTCCTGAACCTTGTCCCTCCTGTAAGTGTCCTACCTCCATCACATAGCATCCTTGAGAGCCTCACCATTTTGCACATGCTGTCTGTTTGCCCCTTGTTTGGGGCATTAATATCCTTTCTCAAAACTGGAAGTTTTGTGGAGGCAGGCAACATCCTGTCTTGTATCCCCTACAAGGTATAGCACATTGCTGGGCACATGGGAAATTCCTAATAATATTTGTTAGTGGCCAACATGGTACAATGGAAAACACAATGAATTCAATTCAATAACCTCATCATAATGATATTGAGGGTTTGTTCTTCCCAGTGTTCATTCACACGGGTGAACTCATTCTATCCTTGTTATAACCCTTAATATAAGGAGGTGTTATTATCACTAATTTGGAGATGAGAAGATGGAGGCAGAGAGGTGATGAGTAATTTGCCCCAAATCAGGACTGGAACTCTTGGTGATACTGGTTTCTGAAGGGTGAACAACCCTTATGAATATTCTAGGCAAAACAAAATATAATCATCCCTCGATTTTCATAGCAGTGGCATGTCCGGAAAATTTAGTATATTTTAAACCCATTAAAAAAATACTTTAGGTTTAGATGTAAAATGGAGTTAGATTGGCCTGTTGGAGAATTATAAGTGATTTTTCACCTGCGTTCTCACACAGTGGGATATTGGGAGTCCAGGTGGGCCGAGAGACAGTTCTTCTGCATGTGGGATTGTCTCTCATGGGAAGGCACATGTTTAGCATCCTGGTCCTCATACCTAATTGCCAGCTTTGCTCATCCCTGAGACAACCAAGAGGGCCTTCTCATATTTCCAAAAGCTCCCTACAGGGGTTCTGATCTTTTTGGGAACCGTGTCATTGATTGGGCTGTCTTCTGATTGCATCTCAAAGTCCTTGGGGGTGTCCTCCCCAAACCAGCACTTTGGGTCCAGACACTTTTCCTCTCCCTTTTCCTTCCTGGCCTGCTTAGCAGGTACTTGTCAACTAAATCTATAGCATCATTAGTTTAGGTGGGAAAAGAAGGAGAGGAGTCCCAGAGCCCTGCTCTGAGGGCCAGATACTGTGCTAGGTACTTCGGAAAGTAGGTGCCTTATAGACAGAGTAGCTGCTTTGCTTACCCAATAAATGCTCAAACCCTCCATCTCCCCTGCGCCCCCGCCCTGCTCCCCACAGATAACTATAGCACCTGTGTCCCAGGCACTGGGTGGATTAAGTGCTTCACGTACACAATCTCAGTTAAATCTCACCACATCCCCAGGAGGCAGGGACACTTTTTATCCTTATTCTACAGCTGAAGAAAGCAAGACGCAGGGAAAGGTCATAACTTGTTCAGGGCCACACAGCCGGGAAGTAGCAGAGCTGGGCTTCAACCTAGGGCTATCTGACACTATTGAATTTATTATCTCAACAACTCCACAATCCCATTTTATAGGGGAGGAAATGGACACGTCTTGAAGATAGGGTTTGTCCCCTGGTGTCTAGGGGTGGGACAGTGCGTGGCTATTGCCCAGGCCCAGGAGCTCCCTGGCCGCGTGGAGGTCTGGCCTCAGGACTGGCATTTGTCTTACAGGCCAACACCAACACAGACCTGAGGCTGGCGGCTGCCAATGGAGCTCTCCTGCGACACCGGGTGCTGCTGGGGGTGACAGACACGGTGGAAGGCTGCCAGAGCGTGATTCAGGTGCTGTCTCAGAGTGACCTCTCCTTGAGGGCCCCCTTTCAGGCTGGGCTGCTGGGGAGAGGTGGCCCCTCGTTCTCCCAGTCTGCACAGTCTCTCGGAGTCTGCTGATGAGACGGCATCAGCAACCCATCCCTACCTCCCTGCTCCAGTGTTCCTTCCTCCGGGGTCCTGGGTGGTAACCAGCAGCCCAGAACCTCCATGGGACAGAGATGGAAGGGAGGCTCAGAGACTGTCCAAGCCTCACTCCTCACTCAGTATTCATTCAGCAAACAGATGGGGTCACACAGTGGGTCTGGGACATAGCTGGGGCTAGGTGAGCGCCAGGTCTCCTGCGCCTGGCTGGGCTCTTCAGGTGAGATTGCTAAATCTCCTCAGCACCAACATCTGCCTTCTCACTAGTCATCGACCCTTGCAGAGTGGGAGCCCTGCCGTGGGCGTGTGGCTGGGACCTGAGGAGAAGCTCTCTGTGACATGACGTGCTCATCCCACAAATACTTACTGAGTGCCTAGTATGTTCCAGGCACTGTTCTAGGTACTCAGGCTGCAGCAGAGAACAGACGTATGAGGAGCCGCGTGTGTTTGGAGCCTAGCACGTCTGAGATGGTGTAGGGTGTGACGGGAATCTTGCCTGTCACCAGGAAGTGAACTTGAAGGCATCACAAGATTTCTGGCAGTTGTGACATGGGAGATTGGGAGCTCCTTGAATCTAGAAGTTCTTTCAGCCTCATTTGTCTCCGAACGCTCTTGAAGAGAACAGACGTATGAGGAGCCGCGTGTGTTTGGAGCCTAGCACGTCTGAGATGGTGTAGGGTGTGACAGGAATCTTGCCTGGCACCAGGAAGTGAACTTGAAGGCATCACAAGATTTCTGGCAGTTGTGACATGGGAGATTGGGAGCTCCTTGAATCTAGAAGTTCTTTCAGCCTCATTTGTCTCCGAATGCTCTCGATGGATTAGCTGGATTAGCACACAGGGGTGACTTGGCAACTGTTAGTTGAAGGCATGGATGGATGGAAGACTCATGAATGGACACATCTTTTAAAAATAATTGGGTTCTTTCTGTTTCAAAATAGCATCTTGGGTTGAGGTGACACAATATCTTGGATTTTTAAAAAATCACTGGGGATGGTGTGGGTTGGGGGATGGAGGTGCCCGGGGTGAGGAGTGGGTAGGAGGAGAGATGAAACAAGCGAAGCTCTGATGTGGTTACCATTGACCAAGGCGGTTAGCTGGAAGTTAATGCTTCGTTTGCTCTACTTTTGCGTATGTTTGGAAAATGTCATAATAAAAAGGTTAAAAACATTTTAAAAATGTTCCCTTGGGGATGACACAGTGAGAGAGACTAGTCAGCAAGAGGGGCGTGACCTTGGGTCTCATGGGTCAGCCACTGGGAGGAGGGTGGCTTGGGATCCAGAGGAAGTGGTCAGTGGATGGAGCTGTGGGACATGGGCCACCAGTTTCTTGTAGAACTTGGGTTGTGATGTGCAGCAGCTGCGTGGACCCAACAAGATGATGTAATGTGTGAATGTGGAGGATTTAAGCCTGACTGAGTTTACTCCGGCCTTCTGGGGACTGTTGAGGTTGTAGAGGAAGGGGAGGTAATAGTGAGGTGAGGATTTCTTACCCCACTCTTCTCCCCTGAGAGCACCCAAGTTCATTACCTTGACCTAGCTGTGGGCAGTGGGGGGTGATAGCTCTGAAGAGCTTCACTCATTTGCATGTTGGGTTCCAGACAGAAGGGTACCTGGCCTCTGACGATAAAGTGGTAGCCCTAGGTGGATACCTGATGCCTGGGATGTTTTGGAGTCTCTCAGATGCTTAGTGACTTGGAGATGGGCTGTAGCCATTTTAAAAAGAGTTAGCACACAAAGCCATTTTCCTACAGGCCATATAAAGGAGAGTTCATGTGTGGGAGAGAGCAGAATGGCATTCTCTTGCCAGGGACCAGGATAAACCCAGTGGTCCTCAGAAGAGCAGGCCTCTGGCATGGAGGCAGGAGGTGGAGGATGGTTTCACAGATGGAGAGTTCAAGGTCAGGCTGGCATTGAACTTCACTGGTCATGGCTTCTTCTCTCCCCAGCTCTGGTTTGTCTACTTCGACCTGGAGAACTGTGTGCAGTTTTTGTCTGACCATATTCGAGAAATGAAGACTAGCCAAGAGGTAGGATACCTTAAGTGAAAAACCAAATAAACCAGGAGGCCAGATTGCATTATGTCAATGTTGAAAAAATGTCTAAGGAAAACTTACTTAGAAGGAAGAACACCTGAATGGAATCTGTGGTCCTTTTGCCTAAGGAATTAAGTCTTTTAACTAATTGCATTTTAACTAATCTCCTCTTTTTTCAGTAATTGTATTTTCTACATTTCCTATAGCGAGCATATATTTATTTATATAATAATAAGTAATAGTAATAATAATAAAGATCTTGGCAGAGGAAAATACCACATACTTAGATGACTTTCACTTGTTCAAAATGCCTTCCTACCACTTATGAAGATCAGGGAGCTCTTGCTCTGATTCCACAGAAGAGGAAACTGAGGCTTTGAGAAGCTCTGTCACTACCTGTGGGCAGTCACAGAGCTGGTTGGTGATGCTGGGTTTGGGGCCCAGCCCTCCTGTCTCTGAGCCCTGGGCTCCTCCCCTGGGATCAGCCAAAGTCGGTCTTGAATTTAGAATTGTGGTTTAGCCCTAATCCTGGCCCGTGAGCTCCTGTATGGCTTTGGGCAAGGCCTTTGAACCTCAGTTTGTGTATCCGCAATGTATAGATAAAGATACCCATGTCCCGGGCTGTTCTGAGCAGCAAATGAGAGCATGGAAGGAATAGTGCTTTAGAAACCATTAAGGACCCTACTTTTGTAGGGAGTTACCTGATCTTAACAATGGGACTCAGTTCCACATTCTCCCAAGGTCTGTAGAAGGTCCATCCATCCTCTGTGGGTCTGCAGCTCAGGGTGTGACTCAGCCTCCTACATGCCACCCAACTTAGGGCACCATTCAAGCCCCTTCTCCATTTCCTTTTCAGTCCTTGCTGAGAAACAGATTGAGCCAGCTCTGTGTCGTCATGGAGACTGGGGTGAGCCCCATGACGACAGCAGAGGGTCCTGAGAACCTGCTAGAGGAAGCTCCTCTCCTGCCCAGCAGCCCTCATCCCACGGAGAGACCACTCCTGCAGACTGAGCTTCACCAGCTCGTTCCCGAGGCCGAGCCGGAGGTAACAGGCATCTGGGCCAGTCAGGGCCACCTTCTGTCATGAGAGATTTACGTAGAGTCCGTCTAGGGGCCTCAAGTTGTAAATTCCAGGGAACATGGCTTTACTGAGTTGGTAGAGACCATACAAATCTTCTAGCCTAGTAGTTTTCAATATTTTTTCCCCTCATCCCAGCACTTTGAAAAATAGTTTGTCAGAGTCGTTTTCTACTTACTGGGTTTTTCCCTCTCCTTTTTAAATATCTTAGATATTTTTTTGGTAGTTCCACTAGATGCGTAGTTGGGTATTGATAGATCTTAGCCTACCTAACCGTGAATATCTTGATGAACATTTGGATCATTTTTTAGTCTATTTATCCATCAATCTATCATATATCTACCTATCTACTTAAACTGCAGTTGAATGTTTAAGTCTTATTGCATCTCTGTTAAATTCCAGTTCCTCCAGCCCCAGAGTTCTCTTGGGTCCTGCCACCTAAGCTATCTGTTGGGTTTGACCCGGTGCTGGTAGACCAGAAATCTCATGTGGTTTGCTGCTTGTGCTACCCTCTGCTCACCATGAGGACAGACCCACTATCTGGGAGACATGCAGCGAAAGGTGACCTTAGGCATGGTTTGATGCAGGAGAGCACTTGTATTTTCTTTCAGCCAAGAGATTTGGGGATTAAAGTTTCAAACTAGCCTGGGCTTTCCTTTTTGCACTGGTGGGGAGTGGGAGAGGCCTACAAATAGGACTATTACAAGAGAAAATAATAAATATGTGAATGTCTTCACTTGAATCCCATTGACTTTTTTTAAAGAGCAGAAAAGATTGATAAGGTCACATACTTTATTGTGACACGCAAGTCTGGGTTTATGCGAAATAGCCTATTAAATATGATGAGTCTTTTAAATTATTTTTTCAAATGCATTCAAACCAATAGTAATACAATTTTATGTCATGAATATCAAGTCTCAGTGTGTGTGGACGTGTTTTTAAAGTAGCCGCCCTTATAACTTAGTGAGGGAAAGTATAATCAGCGCTCAAGCCTCAGCATGGGCCGGATCATCATATTTCAGTAGGAAACCAGCGCCTGTGAAAGACAGTGAATTAGTTATAACGACTTCTTACATTTTAACAGCTTTTTATCATGCATAACATTCTTTAGCATGCCTTCTGAGGTATGGATTATTTTTCTTTCATCTAAGATGGATAAAATAAGCTTCCAAGAATTCGACCGACTTGCTCAAAACAGAACAAAGGAGAATGTGGCAAAGCCAAGGGCAGGAGCCAGCCTTACTAATGCTAAGTGGGCCAATATTCTTGCCACAGTTCTTTGCTTCTTACATTATTGATTTTAGAGTAAATGGGTCAGAAGACCGATCTGAGATAGTGAGGGGAGGGCTATTTGAAGTTTTCACTATTTTTTTTAGCACAAAGGATAACTTGAAGGAAACACTGACCCTACAGAGCTAGGTGTAATTTTTGCTTTTTTTGAATAATGATCGTGCTATGATATTGATGACATTCAATGAGCACTGGGTATTCAGCTTTCTATCTAGTAGTTCCTTTAATCTTTACCTGAGCCCAACCAGACAGATGCTATGATTTTCCTTCTTTTACTGATGAGGAAATGGGCTTAGCAAGGTGAAGTGACTTGCTCAAGGTCTGTCACAGGGTGGCTGAGCTGAAATTTCTGTGTGGCTTTTTTCATTTGAAAGCTTGTTCTTAATCATTGACTCTACCAACAGAAACAGCCTCCTGCAACCCACGCCCTATTTTATTACATTCAGACTGGACACAGTTTGTAATACAAAAGACCTTCACTGCCACGTGTAAGGAACTGAAGCATTTTCCCTGGAATTCCAACTGCCAGCCCAGTGGACAGAACTTAGAGACCAAATGTGTTAATAAGAGCATGCATTAAATCTGATTTTTAAAATTCTTTCTTTATTCTTTTTGACGGTTTAATGTTTTTCATTATAGTGAAATATCCATAATGTAAAATTTACCACCTTAACCATTTTTCAGTGTATGATTCAGTAGCATTAAGCACTTTACATGGTTGTGCAACCATCACCACCATCCAGCCCCAGAACTTTTTCATCTTCTCAAACTGAAACTCTGTGCCCATGAAACACAAACTCCTCCTTCCCTGACCCCTGAAAACCACCGTTCTACTTTCTCTATAAATTTACTGCTCTGGGTGTCTCATATAAGTGGAATCATACAATAGTTGTTGTCTTTTTGTGATAAATCCAGTTTTTATAAACAAACTGTTTATATAATAGGAACACTTGTCTAAAGAGATCCAGCAGGTACCTTGTATGAATTCAAGAGTCTTGTCATCACAGGGCTATTGTGCTACCTGCCCCCATTCACTAGTGGTTTTCTCTAAGTGCATTACCTTGACCTCATGCACTTTACAGATTCACAGACATTGGGAACAGGAAAAAGCGTGTGCATGTGCGACTGGCTGGTATAAATCAATGCTAATTTCTCTAGTGCTTTGAGGCTCCATAGCTTTTTTGTGCATATCATTATCAGTTTTTGGCAGTTAGGTTACCTCCCGCGGAGATGAGGAAACCGAGGCCTCAGGAGCCCCACAGAGCCGGTTGTAGAGCAGGGGTTCCAGCCCAGGCATCTTGCAAACATCCCAGGTGAGGGCCTGGTTGGGTCCTTCCGGTGAGCATCACTGCTGGTGCAGGGCTGTGAGGACCGCTGGGCTTCCCCTCATGCATTAGCTGTGTCTCTGTGGCCCTCACTCTGTTTCCCTGCCTCTTCTAGGAAATGGCCCAACAGCTGCTGGCAGTGTTCGGTGGCTACTACATCCGGCTCCTGGTGACCTCCCAGCTCCCTCAGGCAGCAGGAACACGACACACGGACTCCCCGAGTCTTCCATGCCCCTGCCAGCTCATAGAAGCCCACATCCTGGGAACAGGCTGCTGCCCATTTCTGGCCAGGTGACCCAGGGATGAAGGTACTCATCTTCCTCCTAGACTGAAGGTGAAAAGTCAAGGATGCCTCAAGAGCCCAAGGTGGATGATGGCAAGCCCTAGCTGAGGAGAGAACCATCTGAAGGCTGTCAGTCATGTCAGCAATGGGGTGTCGTGCTCACTTCAGGACCCTGCTTGTCAACATTCCGTGGTGACCCCCGGCCTTTCCAGAAGCAGATGGTTGCCGACCTGGTCCCAGTCCAAGCTACTCTCCGTGCTGCTTAGAACCATGGCCCTAGTGGAAGGGCCGCTCTCCCACCCCTTTCATTGCCTGGACAGCCCAGCAAATGTGAAGATGGCCAGACTAGGCTAAATATGTCCAAAGTCTGGTCTCAGATGATGCTTCCATCTCTAGCCCCTTCATGTCAGATGGGGAAACGGAGGCTCTGGGAAGGCGCTGCTCTTTGTGGCATTGCTGTGGGCCTCTAAAATTATAAGACTGCTTCTTTCCAGTCTGAAGAAAAGAAGTCAGTTCTCAGAATGTTCTCCCCTTTTAAGTTTTTCCTCTATGCTTTATGAAAAACAGTGTACCTGTGCTTGTTGTCTTCCAGTACACAGGTTTCTAGGAGACAGAGGAAAGAAGAAAATGGTACATAACTGTTCATGGGACTATTTGGAAAAGACCCATTCTGTCTGATTTGAGGACTTATTTTATTCAAAGGCATGCATGCTTGTGGTTGTGGTTTTTTACTGCAGATGTAGAGCAATAGGCCTGTTTCCTGACACACCGTTCTGGAATGAAGCATAATCTGTCACTCGTGGAGTTCCATGAAGAGCTCAGAGGTTCCCAAGTTCTCTGCTCCTGAATAAGTTTGAAGACTCACTATCCATAGGTCCAAATCCAAAAGCTCTATCCTGGCACTTAAAGGCTCCACATTCCCCAAGATCTGGCCTTCACCTGCAGTTTTGGCTTCATCTTTACAAAACTCTGTCATGAGTTCCAACTTTTTCCTGGACTGCCATACCTGTTCCTTTCTACCGATTGGACTCCTATGCATGCGTCAAAGCACAGTTTTATTTATCCCTCCTTCAGGAAGGTTTTCAACATAGCCAGCCCTCTTCCTCTCTGCCTCCTTTACATTCTTGATGTAGCTGCTGCCTTTACTGATGTTTTGTTATTGATTCTATTTTCATTTCGCGTGCCTGTTTTTCTAGCTCATCTATAAACTCCTCAAGGACAGAGACAGTACCTGATACTTCTAGGCATGACCTGGTCCTGCTAAGGAAGAAAAAGATCCTGTGGATTAACTGTTTTGTCATCTCTGTAGTAGCTTTTGCAGATTGCTCTCTAAACTCAGTTGAATGATGAGGTTGGCACAGACCTGGGTTCTGGCCCTGAACTGCCCCTTCTAGCTCTGTAACTTTTGGCTGGTCCTCAGTTTACCCATCTAATTAAAAGGTAGATTGGGTGATTCTTAATAGCTCTTCCAGAGGTGAAATTCTGGAAATTTCCAGTTTTTCTGCTGTATGCTAGCCCCTGGCCTGTCTTTCTGTTATGCCTTTATTTACATTTGGAAAGGTTCTATAGCCCCACATTGCTGGAGTGTCCCAGATCTGATGCACCTTGGGACAACAACAGTGGCCTAGCTATCAGGAGACCTGGATTCTCTGGGAGACTTAGATCTGTTGCTTCCTAGCATTGTGACTTTGGCTAGGTCACTTAACCTCTCTGCGTTAGTTCACTCCTTTATACGTGGATCTGGTGAATGCAAAATCTAATGCAGTCAACTTGCCTGCATTATGAGTCTGACTATCGCTTTCTCTGGGCTAGAGAAGAGAAATCGTGTGTAGATATGCCCTTGAAAATGGCCGTTTCAGGCATTTCTCTTTAGCCAGCTTTGAGTGCAGCTTTGCTCAATGAGAATTATTCATGAAGGTGATTCCTGTCTTTGTCACCTGCCGCAGGAATTGTGGGCTGTGAATGTGATCGGTAGAAGCCCATAGTTATCATCTAACCATAAAACCCTGCTAAGTAATAACAGAGTATAATAAAAATGTGTTACATGACAAAACAGCAGTTTTTTTCCATTTTAGGGCTTAAAGAACCCGTGCTGCGTCCTTTCCTGCCTCTCCGGTCTTCACTTTCTGACGGCCTTGCTGGCCGGGGCATTCAGCTGTGCCCCTGAGGTACATGTCTTTGCAGTTTCGCCTCAGCTTTCTCATTTAGAAAATTCTGTGAACTCTGTCTTGCCGACATCACAGGGTTGCTGTCAAGATCAGATTCCATGATGAACATTTACTCTAAATTTTTTTTTTTTAATTTAATTTTCTTATTTTCAACACCCTAAGTTTTAAGGCTCTGTGTGATTGACAGCCATTGCATTGCAGTGGAGAAGATGGTGCAGTCATGAAGTGGGAGTGAAGGGAGTAGCTCAGAGCTTCGATTCTAGAGTCACATTGATTCAAATCCAACTTCTGCCTCTTAGGAGCAGTCTCCTTCCTGTCCTTAGGTGTCACTCCTCGTGTGGAATGTGGATAACAGTATCTACCTGGCAGGTTATTGCGAAGATTAAGTGATATCAAAAATGTAAAGGGCTTGCAACTTGGAGTTGCACGCTCTAGTAAGAGCTCAATAAATTGTTGGTATTAAAAAAGAATCTCTTACTATGTCTTGTATACCATAGGTGCCCAGTGTATATTTTTGTTGACACAGTAGATCATTAACAGTTAATATTTATTCAGTCTGCAGCAGACCTCAGTTACTCTAGCATCATGGGGTGTATTTATGTGAATTAAAATCCTAGTCAAATCTTTTCAAAATTCAGCACCAGGGGACAGTATAGCAGGGAGGTTAAGAGCGATCTCGTGACTTCGGGTCAGATGCTCGCCCTCTCTGTTCCTTTTCTACCTCAATTTCCTCATCTAGTAAGGATAGATAACAGGTAAATTAATTGAGACGATTGTGTGTAAAGTACAAGGCCATAGTGAGGGCTCCATCAAGGAGTCTGTGTTTTCTACCTGTGTCTATTAGTGTAAGCTTTTACTTAAGTTGTGCAAATTTGTATCCTTACTGATTTTAGTTGATTGGTTCTATCATTGACCAAGGTAGGAGAATCTCCAGCTATGAGTATAGACTTTATTTCCCCCTTTTACTTTTGAGAAAATTTTTTAACTCATTTCTCATTTGCCCCGAGAATACTCACCGGCAGCGCTTGTGGCTGCAGCATTTACCCCGAGATAACTCGTAGGTTACAGTTCTAACCTTACCCCCAACGTTTGCCATGAGATATCTTGCTTTTATTAATTTCTCATTGCTCTAGTATATTAATAGTCTTTGGAAACAAATAACATCATTCTGTTTATAGCATTGTTTTTAGTAGTGGTATTTCCATTTACAAAATATAGTAATTCTCGATTGCGGAAAATGTCAAATCCTAGAAAATGTAGCATTTCTACGTGTGATGTTAAATGAATGCTGGCATCAAGCTGCACTTTTTTTCTCTAAACGGGGAAGGGGTTAAATTACATAGTTTAAAAAAATGAGATACAATTAACATACCATAAAATTCACCATTTTAAAGTACACAATTCAGTAGTTTTTAGTATATTAAAAAGATTACACAGCCATCACCACTATTTAATTCTAGAATATTTTTATCACTAACCCTCCGTCTCCACCTACCCAATACCCTACCCATCAGCAGTCACCCCCATTCCTCTCTCTCCCCAGCCCCTGACAACCACTAATTTACTTTCTATCTCTGGATTTTCTCATTTTGAACAATTCGTATAAATGGAATCATACAATATGTAGCCTTCTTTTTCTGGCTCTTTTCACGTAACGTTTTCAAGATTCATCAATGTTGAAGCATGTATCGGTACTTTATTCCTTTTTAATGACTGAATAACATTCCATTGCCTGGATAGACCACATTTTGTTTATGCATTCATCAGTTGGATTGTTTTGGCTATTTATGAATAATGATGCTATGAATAATTGTGTGTAAGTTTTTATGTGAACATACATTTTAATTCACTTCTGACATGTTTTTTCTGTTATTACATACTGTATACTAATTTAGAATTGGTAAAGCTCCCTGATATGTTGACCCTTTTATATTCATGAAATGTCCCCCTTTATTAGATTTTGCCTTAAAATCTACTGTTGTCTGATACATTAGCTTTTGATTAGCGATCACATAGTATATCATTGTTCATTCTTTTACTTTCAACTTATTTGTATCTTTATATTTAAAGTGCCCCTCTTGTGGGCATATGGAATTTAAAAAAAAATTCAGTCTCTGTTTCATTAACTGAAGTATTTACTATACTATGTCTAGTGTACTTACTGATATATTAGATATATTGGGCTTAAATGTACCATTTTACTATTTACTTTTTATTGATTGTCTTTTTCTGTGTTCTTTTTTCTGCCCTTTTTTGCCTTCTTTTGCATTAAGGTTTTTTTTGTTCATTTTTGTTTTTTTGTAATTTCTCCTCTATGAGCTTGTGAGCTATATATTCTCTTCTTTTAGTGGTTACCCTAAATTTCAACATGGATCCTTGACTTATTCAAGTCTATTCCATGTTAGTCCTTCCACCACTTTCTGGACTACTGAAACTTTAGAACTTCTCACCTTTCTGCCTGTTGTGCTATTGTTATCATAGATTTCAATTCTCTGTATTTTAAACCACAACAGACATTTTTTTAATGTTTAATATAGTCAGTATTCATTTAGGTTTATTCACATGTTTACATTTTATTACTCCTTATTACTTTTCATTACTATTTGTTTCTTTCTGCATTTTCATATATTTGTCTTTGAAAATATATATATCATTCTCCTCCTAGAACTACCTTTGGAATTTTTCTTTAGTATTTAGTATATTTAGAAATACTTTTAGCGTTTTCTTTCTAGTACCGATCTTCTGGTGACAGATGGAGATTTTGTTTGCTGGAAACTCTCTATTTTGTTTTTATTTTTGAAATATATATTTTTTGGTAAGTCAAGAATTCTAGGGTACTGCAGGTATTTTCTTTCAATGTTTGGGAGATGTCATTGGCTTTCATTATGTCTGTTGCAAAGTCAGCTCTGAGTCCTTTTGCTGTTCTTAAAATGTTCTGTTTGGGTTTTAGCAATTCTATTTTGATGTGCCTAGGCATAACCTTCTTTATATTTTGTTTGGGGTTCATAACACATCTTGAATCTGTGACACAATATTTTTTATTATAGCTTCTACCCTCTTCTCTCTCATCTCCTTCTGGGACACTAATGATATGTGTGTTAAGCTCTTTTCACTGTATATCTAAGACTTTGCGTTTTCCATTCTTTTGGTTCTTCATGGTTCAGTATGAATATTTTCTGCTGACTTATAATCTACTCCATTACTCTTGCCCTCAATTATGTTTAATTGGTTGTTAAGCCTTTCAATTGATTTCTTAATTTCAGCTATCATAGTATTCAGTCATATACATTTAAATCAACTTTTAAAAATAGTTTATAGTTTTCAGATGAATTATCCATCTTCATTTATTTTCTTCAGTATTTTAAGGTCCACACCTGCAGACTCCAGTTTCTAGTTCTTCTGTAGATCTGTTTCTTTTGTTTTTTTTGGTCAGTTGCTCTTATCTTCTGGCATTTCTGGTAATTTTTGATCGAATGGTAGACATTAAAAAAATTGAAGAGGTATACAAGACTCTGGATATTCTTTCAGAGAGGATTTACTTTTGCTTCTGAGAAAAGCAGTGTTGGGATAGATTTGATTCTGGGTTTTGGTCCTAGCGAGACCTGGTCTATATCTGGTTAGTCCTGACTTGCAGGTGATAGCTCTTCAGGGATTTTTAACTGAAAACCTATTTAAAAAATCTTGTTAAAACCAAAGACTCCTTCTTCAGGGTGAGCCCTCAATCTCCAATTTTTGTTACTCCAGGTTGTGAGTCTGCTGAAAGCTCTGCCTGGTTTTTCAGCTTCTTTGACACTGCTTAGGAATTGGCAGGTACCTTGAGGGGGTCAGAAGACCCCAGTGTTCATTTCTTCTTTCTGTACTTCCTTTCTCCAGGATCTTGGGCCCTAGAGTCCTTACTGCATTAGTAGCTCTCTGATGCATTTGAACAGATTTAAGGAAAACAAAACAAAACAAATCTCTACCTCTCACAGGAGGGTTGGTCAATATAAACTAGTTTTCCATAGTTGGAGATAAAGTCCAGCTCTGGCTTCCATTATCAGATGTCACTCTGAAGCTGAGAGCCCTATGACAAGTTCATAGGATATGAGCCTCTCACCATCTCTTCTGTGAAGAGGCCTCTAAATGATGAAAGCAGGAAGTGACATTTAAGGAGTGTCTTTTATGTGCAAAGCACCTGCTATATGTGTACAGGAAGTAGTTCCAAGACATAAGGAACATGGGATTTTTCGGGGGAAGGAAAGTGGGACCTTGGCATGAGAGGTGGTGAGGAATGCATTGGATAAGAAGAATCTAGGTCAGAGTTTGGATTCAAGGGATGCACTGAGAACTGGAACTAGAAGAGGACCCTGACAGTGAAGGCACCTGGAAAGTGGACCGTCTCTTCACCCAACTGATGCTGTTGGGGAGTCCTCTCCTGTGGTGCCATAGCCTAGTGAACTGATAATCCACACACAATTAGCAACCTCACTTGTTTCTTTCCAGCCATTGTTCTTTTACCTTTTCCTGCTACATTTTCCCAACCTTCTGGATATGGCCACCTGGATGTCTCATAGGCTCCTCCAGCTTGGAGTAGCCCAAGATGATGAAATGACCTGCTCTGTGTTGTCAGCTTGGCCTCACTACTAGCCCTTCTCAGTTCTCTGCATTATAAAAGAAGACAAGAATCTCATTTCCCAGAATCTTCTTCCTCTGTATGGTTCTGATTTAGACTTGGCCACCTTTACTTGAGAAATATATTGTAACTTGGGACTCTCTTCTCTATCCCAGAGCTGCTGTCCTAGTTTATACCTATATTGATATCTGTCTTGATTGCTTAGGCAGCCTCTTCTTGGAGAGAGTCTAATCAAGACAGAAACCACATAGTAATTTGAATATGAGAAGTTTAATATAAAGAATTAACTAATGGATTGGGATAGAGTAAAGAGGACTCTAATTATAGGAGTAGCAGATATAAAGAGCAGCCATCAATCTCAGGGCTGAAATAGAGGCCTTGAAGGAAGAGTTCCCTACATCCCATTCCTAGCTTAGAGCTGAACCTTGTTGGGAAGGATATGGCTGTGGCTTACTGGATGCAGAAGTCTCAGATGTGTAGACAGAATGTTTTAGATGTGTTGACAGAATGTTTTAGATGTCTGCCCTCTAGGGTGACAGGGAAAGCTATCACAAAGAGATGGAGGCACTCCCCCATTTGTTGGTGGGTACTAGAAGCAGCTGCTGGTTGCTAAATGCTCCTGGTGACCATGTACTACAGGATCATGTACTACAGTGCTGGAAACTTGTCTACACTGCAGAAGCGTGATATTGGAGCAGCTGTTTGCATTGCAGGAGCTGGGTGCTGGAGAAGCTACATGCACTGCAGAAGCCAGATGCTGGAGAAACTGTGCTATGCAGGAGCCTGCTAAGATGAGCACACAACAACCAGGAAGAAAAGGCCTTACTCTTTCATTGTCTCCAGCACCTCCTACTGACA